TAGAATTGTGCTTCTGTTTTTCAACTATTTGACTACACCATACAAACATGCCGCGTCCACCGTTGTTTCAATAATAATAACAACAGTAATAATAATAATGATATGATAATAATCATAATAATGGAAGGATTTTCATGTTGCCGACACCAGGTCCCAGTTCCTGGGCCTCTGAGTCCAAAAGAGGCCAAAGAGGCTGAACGTCAAAGTATCATGCCGGGCCGGTACCTCAGGCCAGACTAGTCAAAGTCCAACTGGTACCCAGCCACAGAGTGCAGTCCCAAAGTCCAAATGCAGCAGCACTCCAATAAAATCTGGAAAGTACCGGGCCTCAAAAATTCAAGCAGCAAACAGGCCCAGGGCAACCGGTACCAGTCAGAAGCAGGCCAAGGCCAAGTCAAGTCAATATTAAAGGACAGCTCCAGCACATTGGACACACTGTTCATTTGTGAGAAAGTGGAAGCGCTGTTGACTGCTTGTGCAACATCACGAGTTGGACTGCGTGCTGAGAAGCCTGTTGAGCGATGCTAGGTTGAAGAAGACAGGCAGCCATAGCCACAAGTAGGAAGTAGAGCAGTAAGAGGAAGGCGGATGTATTCAGGGCCACGATCCTCATAGTACCACAGAGAGAGAGAGAGAGAGAGAGAGAGAGAGAGAGAGAGAGAGAGAGAGAGAGAGAGAGAGAGAGAGAGAGAGAGAGAGAGAGAGAGAGANAGAGAGAGAGAGAGAGAGAGAGAGAGAGAGAGAGAGAGAGAGAGAGAGAGAGAGAGAGAGAGAGAGAGAGAGAGAGAGAGAGAGAGAGATCACACGAGGAGGGAACTCAGTTACATACCTGATTGAGGCTGTTGGATGTTGCAATGATGAGCGCCGGGATTCGAACTCTGACTTTGTATAATATGATCATTCATTGAAGTTTCTCGAGCTGCGCTAAGTTGCTAGCCTGGTGTTCCCATCTTTGAACTTCTGTGTGAATCTTTGTGTGAACTCCCATTGTGCATGTGCTTGGAGAGTGAAAGCAGGTGCAGTGTCCCTTACATCAGATACGCACCCAATGCTTCCCTTTGTTACAGTCAAGGGACCCTGAGGCAGCAGCATTCATTTATTCCTGCAGTGGGAAGGGTTTACTACCGCTTGATCCCTGCTCTCCCCTTTCTAGCCTAGCTATCTCATTAGAAAGGCATCAGCTTTCCCTTGCCTTCAATGCTTTGTCATGTGTAATTTTTAAATCTAACTAGTCCCTTTCTCTCCACTGTTATGAACTGCCAGAGAAACTGATGATACGAGGATTCTGCTGGTTGGAGCTGTAATCCTTTCTTTTCTTTTTCTTTTTTTCTTTTTTTTTTTTTTTCTTTTTTTTTGACAAAAAACAGTCCCTCCAGCCCTATGCCCAGTCAGGGTTCCGGGAGGAGCCACTGGGGGGCACCAGTGGGGACTCCTTCCGTCTCCCTGCCCATCCCCCAAAAGAACCTACACTTCGACACTGTCCTTCGTCGGTCCTACCCTGCTGCCACGCACCCACACTGGCAGCGAATTTGAAGCATTGCAGAGTGAAGCAAGCTAAAACTTTTTTTTTTTTTTTAAAGATGCTCCAATCTATTCGTGGGGAGCAGCACGTGCTGGGAAACGGGCCCAGCGTCCCTTATACTTGGAATACATTGATGATTGATGAAATTTGGGATGATTCGGGAATACTTCAGGATGACTGAAATAATAAGCACGAGGTTGATGTTGACTACTCAGAATGCTTCTCTACTCAGATCTCACAAACTACCCTAACCCTAATCTCAGGTATCCATGTCAACCAGCCAATCTCTACCGAGCCAATCCTGTGTACCAACCAAGCCTCTACCCGGTCTCACACCCCAATTTAGCTACGTTACAGGGCAGTGCCACCCACCCCAGCTCCGACCCTCGTCGGCCAGATTGTAGCCTTTGGTCAAGTATTATGATTGCCTTCCACCCTCAGCAATCCCCAGATCTCTATCCAAGGCCTCAAGCTCCTATGAAGGTTACAGGGCGATGCCCCAGCACCGGCCAGCGTCGTTCTGGCTACTACTCAACCTGGGCAAAAACACAATAAAAGCTCAATTAGGAAATCAGTTATACTAGAATGTCACCTAAGAATTCGGATCTGATAATAGTGGGATTCTGAGCAAAAAAAGACTCTGATGATGTTGATGTGATGATGTTGATGATGATGAAGGCTTGGCAGATTTAGAAAAATTATTCCCCCCATCCTTCTTCTTCCCCTCTGCCCTTTCGTTGCCTCTGCCAAAAAAAGGGATGCCCTGATCACGAGCACTCCTCCTCGGCCCCAACTTGGACAGACCCGCATCCATCCCCTAACCTACATAAGCATCCAATTCCCCCCAAAGTATGCTTATGTCGAACCCTTGCTCTTATCTGCCACCGCTGGGGAATGATGCCCTCCCATTCATCCTTCCCAGCCCCAGATAACAACATCCCTCATGATCTGCTCCCACTCCCTCCAGGGCATTCACCTCCCACCTTGTGATGCCCCTGTAGAGTGGGGCTCTCCCCCTCCAAATGAGCCCCCAAACCACGACAGCTCAGATTTCGCCGCACACGAGGGAAAAATTAAGAAAATAAATAAGAAATGGAAAATTCATTTCTCCCCTCCTCCTCCCCCCCCGGCTTCCCTCCTGTCCCTCCACTGACCTACTTCCTCCTCCTGCTCCTGCCAAAGCAACAGGCAACCACTTGCCCTCATCTGCCTCCGCCAGGATGTGATGCTGGACCGTACATCTCTCCCAGCCCCAGATTTGAGCATCCCTCCATATCTGCCCTCAGTCCCAACCCAGACTAAAACGAACTGAAAAACAGACTGAAACCGAATGACAATCACAGGCTAAACTAAATAAAACAGACTACAACACAAACAGTCTGGAACCAGAACAGAGTAAAACAGACGAAAAAAGCAGACTGAAATGGCTAGACTGAGTGAAAAAAGACTGAAACAGAAAAAAGACAGACTAAAGTAAGGTACCGAAGAGGCAGAATGGATTAGAAAATTGAAAACTTTTGGCATCCTTTGGTTTTACTTAGCAGGGACTTTTTCTTCACCAATCGTGAGGGCTTCCCTGTTACAGACGTGTTTCCAAGGACTGTGGGTGGGGGGGGAACGGGTCTGGGAACTCCTCTGCAGGTCTCATAGGGATGCTAGAATCTACTGTCAGCCAATCCTTAAATCTCAGTCGGTAGTCCCTTGGCACCTCCTCTCCATGGCTGCCCTCCCCCCCCTCCTCTCCTTCCCAATCCCCTGTCCAGCATACTTCGGTCTCCGCCCAACCATTCCCTGGAAAACTGTAGTAGTCGTTCCCGGATGTCTTTGGATCTATGGAGATTGTCTAGTGTTTGCCTAGTTGTCTTCAATCTGTGCGAGAGCTCCAGTTGGAAGTGCAGTTTGAATTGTTCCACCCTCTCTTCTCCCTCTACCCGAACTTGGTCTAGAGTTAGGACGAAGCGTTGCCACCATAGGACCCACAGGATCGTTCGTCGGGATAGGTGGAACATGTTCGACACAAAGGTGTCGTCTTGGAAAGGTGGGTAGTGGCCCGTTAGGATGGCACGCCAATCCCACGGCCATGGATGCCCCGGGACCATTTGTTGCCACACCCTATCCCACCACCTCCAGGTCAGAATGACTGCTGGACATTGTAGAAATATATGCTCAATTGTCTCTGCTCTCTTTCTAGCCGGGAAACCCAACAGGCATCGAGAGCACCAAGGGAGCGCACGGCCTTGTTGTTCTAACTGCGAGTGATCGATCAACCAGTTGTTTGTTGGTAGGCACCGATGCAAGATTTGCTGTAATCCTATACCTCACTTTTCGCCTTTTCAACCTCTATATGTCCCCCTGTTGTCCCCCTCACCTGCTCTTCTATACCCTGATTAAGTCCTAATGAAGTCAGCATGGCGCTACCCCATGTGCCCCTTCGGAAGGATTGACTGACACCTAAGTAGATATCTCCTCATACACTACCCTTCCCTTCTGATTTGCCGCTCCTTTGGAACCAAACCTCGATTCCAGAGAATAGGAGGTTCTCACTCGGTTCACTACTGCAAACTGCTTGAGAGAGGGCTTTACTCTAGGGCTGTCCCGGTTGGCGGCGGTTGGGCACAGCTTGTGGATTGTACACAGATGGCCACTGAATCTTCACAGAATTCAGTTCAATTAACCACTCGGTTCACTACTGCAATCCTCCCTTTTGAATCTGCACCGAATTAACCACTGTCAAGACTGCCAAGTCTAGCCTTTTTGGTAGCTCCATGCGGGGTCTGCACATTGAGCCCCATGTGGGTCCCATTTTTTCCATTGCAGCCTGTTGTCCACCACTGTTGCCACCTTCCTGTCCAATAAACATTTCTGATGAATGCCCTCTTTCTGAAGTCCGCCCTTATCGATCCAGGGTAACACAGGTTTTTGGTCTTCTGCCATCTGCACCTGATCTATCTGTCTGTCTATCTATCTATCTATCTATCTATCTATCTATCTATCTATCTATCTATCTATCTATCTTGTGTCGTCAGTGCCGCACAGCACAATGGTGTCCCACTGCGTGTCCCATTGATGAATGAGCATCTTTCACCTACATGTCGAAGACTAACCTGGTCTCATCACCTCCAAGGCTCTCCCTCTCCTCTGCCAGGCCACAGGCACCCTAGACCGATCAACCCTCAGTCCGCCTCAAGGGCCTCTGTGCCTTGCAAAAGAAAATGAAAACGTGGAAGCTGTAATGTGACGAATGCAGAATTATTGCCAAACCGTACGATGTGAAAGAGATTTTTAGTGGACTCTTCATGACAATACATAAGTGTAGTAGTTTTTGCCGGTTTTCCATCTGTTAGTGTAATGCCTGCCATAATGTTTTCTTTGAAGGATGACTGGATCAGGTATCCTTCACATTCCCTCTATCTGACATTAGGTACACTTCCAAGTGATTGCCGAAGAAGTTTGGTTGTGGAGAGAAGTTCACACACACCTGATATCTTCACCGTCACCAGCCCAACTTCACTATAGTCCGTTGTATACAATGTTCTATTCCATTCCTGAATGTTTATGACATTAGGACAAGTCAATCAGGCACAAAGAAAAACAAGAAGGATGCATGAGCTTCCTGAAACAAAAAAACAAGGAAAAAGAGATGCCAGAAATAGCAGGAGCAGAAAAATGCCAAGTGCAAGTGAAACCGAATTGTGGCCCCTCTTCAATCAAAGAAGAATCACACACAAATAGTCATTTTGCTGGATTCACCCAACACATCCTCAAAATTCAAGGACCTTTAATATAAATAAATTGGTCCTCTCCCATGGCCTATGGGACCCTCTCTCCTTCTTCTTCTTCTTCTTCTTCTTCTTCTTCTTCTTCTTCTTCTTCTTCTTCTTCTTCTTCTTCTTCTTCTTCTTCTTCTTTTTTTTTTTTCCTCCCCTCATAAAAGGCCAGGGTGTTGTAGAGACCAAGGATTAGACCATGCTGATCGCTGGCAGCACCAGTTGATGGTTGTCCTGACAGGATAGGCCACCTCCCCTACCCTTCCCAACGTTAGAACTCCCAGCACACCCCCTATCCCTACTATCCTGCCTCAGTGTGACCAGGACTCAGACGAGTATCGAGGACAAATTGGACCAGACAGCAGTGACAAGCACCAAGGCTGGGCAGGCCCCCAGCCGTAGTGCAAGCCGAAGCGGACGAACCTTGTCATATGGAAACTCCGTCCTCCTCGTCGCTAGTTACAATGGCAATCACCATCGCCGCTTATGCCTAACCCAATGGGCCTTCCCTTCTCCCTCAAGGGAGGTAGATGCTTGACTGAAACATTTCCAACACTTTCAGGCTGCTGTCACTCAGCCTCTTCAGGGGGATGATGCAGAAGCTTCCTTCATAGTTCCTTGCAGCACCAGCCCCATTTCTTCTCAAACCTACCTGCAAAATTCTACATCAGTTCGGCAGAAGCTAAGTCGGCCTCTTACCAGTGTACGCGGTAAGAGAAAGCCTACCAGACCAAATGGGGTGCAGCGCATACCAGTCTTGTGTGAAATCTCGACTACCCTGGGTTTGGTGATTTTTAATTCTAATTTTCAGGAATAAAAAATAAAAAAAAACAGGACTCCACATCAGGGGAAAACATAAAAACAATAAAATGAATGCAAGGAAGATGAGCAATAGCGAACTTCAGCAATCAAACAGCATCATACACATAAGACCAGATAGTCATGACCTCGAACCAATAGCAGAATTGCATCACGAGTTTCACCAAATAAGAGYACACCAAAAGCTCATAATTGACAATGCTGGAATAGTCTCATCATCATCATCAACGAAGAACCAATGTTGATATCCTATCTGGCGCTCGGCGCCCAGACTACAGATGGCAGATCCTATCTAGCCTACACTACAATGCCGAAGATGACGACAACAGCTCTCCCGAAGTACGAGCAGATAGCGGCCAATGCCGCACGCTTCCAGCACCAGGTATGTCTCTTGCATCACTCACAACCTCATTCCCCAACACACAGATGCCACATGCACCCAAGGACCACCCTGCGCCACACCCAGCTCACAGCAGCGCAGCTCGGCTATGGCTGCCTGCTCCTTCCAGCTCGCCGGTGAGCGCGTGAGCGCTAGCCAGCTTCAGCGCAGCAGCGCTTGCGCAGCATGCAGCCAGCACCCGAATGTTATGAACTTGGTTGTCTGACGATTTTTGCCGCCACTCACACACAGACAGTCTCATACACGCCCATACATGCATAAGAGAAGGGGGAGAGGAGACAGAGTCCACACTGCATACAGATCAGAGTAGGCAGCGAAAGTTCAACCATGCACAAATGGGGAGAAGACACTCAGTGTTTCTCACTCTCTGACAAACTCCCAACAACCAATCACAAGAAGAACCTGCGAGGATAACAATTGGAATTCACACTGATGAAGAGCCAATTAAACCAGATATCGTTACAGAGTTTGTTCCAGTATCTCCCACTCTCAGAACCCCACACTCCACTCTCTACCCTACACCCAGTTAGTAGCGCACAACCGAAACAGCCTCCCAGAGGCCAGCGCCAACCACCCAGATGAAGAACAGATCCGGCGATGAAGTCTTCAGTGCCGATGAACAACTCTGACGAAGAAACCAGGCAGCTATGGCTGCCGCCACCCACAAACACTCAGTGAAGAGCCTCGATATAGCCTAGCCAGACGCAGATACCCCCAGGGGTAGATGTGCTGAGGTTGCCCCAGCTCCGGCAACCTTCAGAAGGGCCGGCTATGGCTGTCATCCTAGGCAAGGGTCTCAGGATGCCGCCTGCAGACAATTGCCACCGCCAACTTGCTTGGCTTCTCCAAACGCTGCGTCGCGCAAAATGAACAGCCAAAAGTCCTCAACAGTCCTACCCGAACCTACTTGTAGATTCTACACTATCCTAGCCTAGGACCTACCAGTACCGTTTCAGTTAGGGCCTACTCGGCATCTACGGAATCGGTCCTACTGCTGCACTTAGGGCTCAAGGCCACTTAGGGCCGGTAACTACTCAGCCTCTACTTCTGTTAATTCCGTCTATTTTTAGAATAGCGGGCGGCCCTTAGTGCGAAAAAAAAAAAACACAGCAAGGCACACAGCAAACACAGCAGTACACTGTACAGCCTCGCAGTCAGTCTCGACAGTTGAAATCAGCAAGTCATTGCAGGCTTACCCCCCCGGGGAGCGAGGACCTCCGAGCTCGGGATGCAGACGAGGTGAACGGCGAGGAAGGTTGCCCTTCTGAGCTGCTTCATATCGTAAAACAAATGACTTTGTTGTCTTGAGAAGTTCCCTTCTGTAAAACCATCTGTTCTCAGAAGGAGGCTGGAACGCGAACCTCACAAGATACTGTCGATCGGGGCCGGTGCCCCACTCATCCTCGATCCATTCCACGTCATATCCCTTGCCAGGGATCGGTGGACTAAATTGAGGAGGCCGGTCTACAAATGCATCAGCTGGAGTGAATGAAAGCAGCTTAGATTCATGGAAGACCGGGTAGATTCGTAGATGCAGCGGGACGTCAATGACATAGGATGGACCAAATGGATCAGCGCCCACTGTATCTAAGACCTGCCATGGACCCAAGTAACGAGGCAACAACTTGGGGGAGATGTCTTCCTCCCTCGACAGCTCAGAACTGGCTACCCAGACATAATCACCAGTGCGGATGGGGGAAGGCCGCCTGTGGCAATTAGCTTGTTCAATCATTGCCTTTTGGGCTTTGAACAAGTTCACCCGTGCTCTTTTCACATCTATGCGGTAGCGTCTGGTGAACTCTGCGGTGCCTGGTGTCAAGTCTGACTTGGCCTTATCGATGATATCATCGAGAGGCTATCGTGGTTCACGTCCCCAGTGCAGCCGGTATAGACTGAACCCAGTCGAGGAATGGACGAACATGTTATAAACAAGTTGTGCCCGAGCCAAGTGGAGATCCCACTCCTGCTGATCTGGAGAGATGACAGGACACAGCAATTGGAATAAGACTTGGTTCATCATTTCAGCCTGACCATTGGCTTCAGGATGATGACCAAAAGTCATGTCCAATCGTGAGTGCAGGTAGTCCTTACAGTAGGACTGCCACTCATCGCTGCAATATCGGGGGTCTCTATCACTGACTATAGAAGTGGGTGGTCCATGGTGTGTGACCCACCTCTCTGAGAAGGGTGCTCTCACAGCCGGAACTCTAGCTACCTCTGGATGAACTCTGCGTATTTGGAGAACCTGTCCACGCAGACCATAACCTAACGCATGCCACGAGGGGTGGTCTTGCCTAAATCTGTGAAATCAATCAACACAGATTCAGTAGGGCCATCAGGTATGGGTAGGGGTTTGAGTAGTCCCAGAGGAGGCCTACGCTGGACCTTGTTCCTCTGGCAAAGCTCACAGGTTTCCACATAGCGTAGCATATTATCCGCATCTCCTTCCAGAAGAAGCGCTGCGACAGGGCTGCATACGACTTTAAGAACCCAAAGTGTTCGGGGGCATCATGACACTCTGACATCAGCAGTTTCCTGAGCCGCTGATCCCGGGGAATGCACAAGCGCTCCTCACCTCTGCTATAGGTATACAGCAAGTCTGAACTCAGGGCATAGTCGGGTTCAGAGTTGGGATCCGCTTGCAGATTCCTGACTATGGGCCCAAAAGTCGGGTCCTGAGGCAGAAGACGACCAATGGTCTGACGGGTCTCCTCTCCAAAGGAGTGAGTAGAGGAGATCAATGCAAAAGAGTCAGGCCTACGAGAGAGGGCATCTGCTACCTTGTTGTAGCAGCCCTTCTTATGTTTCAGTTCAAAGTCAAACATGTCTATGAACTGAATATATCGTGCCAACTTATCGTTTAACTCTCCCTGGGACTTCATCCACTGTAAGGTGGAGTGATCTGAGAAGATCTTGAAGTGTCTTCCTAGGAGAAAGTGCTTCCAATGTTTCAGTGCATAGACAACAACATATAACCCAGTCTCGTAGGTAGAGTCCTGAAGCTTTTGAGTCTTGATCTTCTTACTCATGAACTCTACTAGCCGTAGACCATTCCCATCATCTTGCCGAAGAACTGCCCCAATGCCATACTGACTGGCGTCAGTGGTCAGGATGAATGGCAGAGTGGGGTTAGGCAACTTCAGCACGGGTGCACGAGTCAATGCCTTCTTGAGTCGTGTGAAGGCCAACTGACAGGGAAGGGACCAAAGAAAAGGAGTGTCTTTCTTTGTTAGGTTGGTCAAGGGTGCAACCACTGCAGAAAAGTTCCTGACAAACTTTCCGTAGTATGAGGCTAAACCTATGAACGACCTGACATCCCTCACTGTCTGTGGTTGTGGCCACTCCTGAATAGCAGCTATCTTGGCTGCTTCAGGATTCAGGCCATCTCCAGAGATTACGTGACCCAGATAAATGACAGAGGGAACTCCAAGGGAGGACTTCTCTCTGTTAATCTTATACTGGTTGTCGCATAACGATTGAAGGATCAAAGCCAAGTGCTCCGCATTTTCCCTGGCAGTTCTGCTGAATACCAGGATGTCGTCCAGGTAGACAACCATGC